ATGATAAATATTTCATAAAGGTACAGTGTTGTATTGTCACTCAAAGTGTGAGCGATGAAAGCTGAAAATCGGCCTGGGCATTTTTGAAAGAAAAATTATATTAAACTCTTCTAATAGCTTTTATTTCCATACACACAAATGCATTGGGAACACTACACATTCTATTCCAAATCAAAACATGAAGAAAAATATATCACATTTGTGTTGTTCCTCTAAAAAAAATTGAAGAAAAGTGAATATTAGATTGTTCAAAAAAAATAGCAGTGTTTGTATTCTTCTTTACAAACTCAAATATTCACTATATAAACTAAAAAATGTTTAGGGGTTCAAAGGAAAGCAAAATCTTCAATTAATATTTAGTTGCATAAGCACTGTTTCTGAGAACTGCTGTACATCTGTGTTGCATGGAGTCAACCAACTTCTGGCACCTGTGAACAGGTATTCCAGCCCAGGATGATTGGACTACATTCCACAGTTCTTCTCTATTTCTTGGTTTTGCCTCAGAAACTGCATTTTTGATGTCACCCCACAAGTTTTCTATTGGATTAAGATTCGGGGATTGGGCTGGCCACTCCATAACGTCAATCTTGTAGGTCTGGAATCAAGATGTTGCACGTTTACTGGTGTGTTTGGGGTCGTTGTCTTGTTGGAACACCCATTTCAAGGGCATTTCCTCTTCAGCATAAGGCAGCATGACCTCTTCAAGTATTCTGATTAGAGATGAGCGAATCGAACATGACGAAGTGGAATTCGTTTCGAAGATTTGGAAAAATTCGATTTGCAACGAATCCGAAGATTAGCAAACTTCGGATGCACGAATCGAATTTTCCCAAAAATGGCGGCGACGTGTGGCGACAGGAGAAAATGGACAGAGAAGATGGGGCGGGGATCTCTGGGAAGGCGCGCAGACAAGGCGCGCTGACCCATAATGCATTCATGAGTCATGAATCATGACATGTGATCGCATTAGCCAATCAGCAGCCAGCCAGCCAGCACTGTGTAATGGTGGAGCTATAAATCGCGGTCATCTTCGAATTCTCCATTAGCCTCCGGTCATTCAAAGAGAGACAGACCTCTGTGTATTGAGGGACAGAGTTAGGGCCACAGAATCGTTACTCAGGGACACAGAATCGTTACTCAGGGACACAGAATCGTTACTCAGGGACACAGAATCGTTACTTATTGTACGTTCAAAGAGTTAAATCCATTTAGACGCCGGCTGGCGGTAATATTTTTTGGGTGATTAGTGCATTCCAGTGACACAAACGTACAGTTTCCAGCCAACGGCAAGCTGCAATTGACCGATTGTGTACAATAAACTGACTTTCTGCTTCACAACCACTATTGTACGTTCAAAGAGTTAGATCCATTTACACGCCGGGTGGCGGTAATATTTTTTGGGTGATTAGTGCATTCCAGTGACATAAACGTACAGTTTCCAGCCAACGGCAAGCTGCAATTGACCGATTGTGCTAAATAAACTGACTTTCTGCTTCACAACCACTATTGTACGTTCAAAGAGTTAAATCCGGTTTTATTTTTGGGGTGCTTATTGAATTAAAGAGTATGTCAGACAACACGCAGAGGAGGCAATGTTTCAGGAGCAAGCAGACGTGGCAGCAGAGGAAGGGGTCGAGGCAGCATTAGTCGCAGCCAGAGGCCAGTGCTCCCGGTGTCATCCAGCGGTCGTGTCTCCACCGACAACCCTGCCGTCATCGATTGGTTGACTCGGTCGTCTTCCTCTTCCCAGGTCACCTCTGACACCTACAGCCAACGGTCGGTGGGTACGTCAGACACAACCGTTAGTTGGCATGGCCCGGGAGCAAGCCCACTGAAATCAAGTGTCCTCGACCTGCCCCTGTCCTTTGCTGTTCCCTCACCAAGCGAAGTATCGCATGCTGTGGGCTCAGCCCCACTGTACAGTGAGGAAGAGCTAACAGAGGGCGGTCAGGAACGGGGGGAGACATCCGCCTCTTCAGCAGCCAGGCGAAGAAGTACTGGCGAGGAGAGTGGCTCGGTAGCCGGTCTAGAGACAGGTCTGTCTCCTGACCCACACGCAGCCGAGGGGGCTAGTAGTGACGCGGAGACCCTAATTGATGATGATGAGGCTGATTGCACTTGGCAGCCTCGTCGTCATCAGGCTATTGCTTCCGCATCATCAGGAGAAGAGGGTGCCAGCTTGCCAGCGAGCAAAACAGTCGGTGGGTTGCCCAGGAGGCAGCAGGGTCGCAGCAGTGGTCAGTGGAGCCAAAGGCCACGGAGTAGAGCACCAGCTCCACTGCAGCCTACCACCACGGCCAGTAGTGGTGCCGGTGTGCACGGAGGAAGCAGCAGTCAGCCAGTGAGGAGTAGCGGGGGCAAAGTTTCCTACTCGGCGGTGTGGCAATTTTTCGTCAAGCCGCCCGAGGAAGTTAACGTAGCCGTATGTCGACTATGTGGCCAGAAAGTCAAGCATGGCCAGGGGGCCAATGTTGGGACTACAGCGTTGCGTCAGCATATGCAGCGTCGCCATTCGGTGGCCTGGGAAAACCGTGATAAAGATACGGCGGTTCTGCCTGCCCCAGCCCCCGCTCCATCACCCGCTCCGTTACTTGCTCCGTCACCCGACGTCAATCGCCCTCTATCAGCAAGTCAAGGCTCCAGCACCTCTGCTGAGGGGAGTTGTCGCTCGTTGGCATCTTCCGCTCGTTCAGATGCTCCTTCTCCTGCTACTCCTCTTCACGGATTCCGTCAGCAGTCTTTCTTGGAATCCGTTTCCAAGAGACAACAGTTTGCGAGCACGCACCCGACGGTGCAGAAGCTGAACGTCCTCCTGTCCAAGTTGCTGGTGCTGCAGTCCCTCCCTTTCCAAGTGGTGGACTCAGCACCTTTCCGAGAAATGATGGCTTGTGCCGAGCCGCGGTGGAGAGTGCCAAGCAGGCATTTCTTCGCCAAAAAGGCAGTGCCAGCCCTGCATTCACATGTAGAAGAGATGGTGGGCCAGTCTTTGAGCATGTCGGTCTCTGCCAAAGTGCACGGCAGCGCCGACGTGTGGAGCTGTAACTACGGTCAGGGACAGTACATGTCATTTACGGCCCACTGGGTGAACGTGGTGCCGGCACAGCCGCACCAGCAACTTGGACAGGTCACGCCGCTTTTGCCTCCACGTTTGCACATCCTTGGTCCAGCAAAGATGTCCGCCTCTACCACCTCTTCTTCCGCCGTGTCCTCAGCCGCCACCCCCGTGCCAAGTCCCATTACTCGACCGGCATATCACATGTGCAGGGCGCAACGGTGTCACGCTGTGCTGCACCTGGTATGCCTTGGCGAACGTAGTCACACAGGGGGAGAAACTTCTGAGTGTAATGAACAGAGAAATCGACAGATGGCTGTCTCCGCGCAAACTGAAAATCGGAACCATGTTGACCGACAACGGAAAGAACATGGTGTCTGCTCTGCGTCAAGGAAGGTTGTGCCATGCGCCATGCATGGCTCACGTGTTCAATCTGGTTGTCAAGCGGTTCCTAAAATCCACCATCCCACTGCAAGACATGTCACGTAAACTTTGCATGCATTTCAGCCATTCCTACACCGCAAAGCACACCCTCCTTGAGCTGCAGCGGCAGAACGGAATTCCACAGCATCGCCTGATCTGCGACGTTGCAACAAGGTGGAATTCAACCCTACATAAGTTAGACCGCCTTTACGAACAGCGAAAGGCCATCACCGATTTCCTGATGTTACAAGCGGATAAAGGTACTCCCCTGTGTAACTTAGATGTCAGCCATTGGCAGCTCATGCGTGACACCTGCCGCTTGCTCAGGCCCTTTGAGGAGGCCACGCTATTCGTGAGTCGGCAGGACTATGGGATGAACGACGTCATTCCTCTGTTGCACGTCCTGGAACAAATGCTGTTAACAATGGCTGGTCAGGGTGCGGTAGACGTGGCGCACAGATCTCAACGCCACATGACCCCTGTGGGAGCAGGACAGGAAGAAGAGGAGGAGGTAGAGGAGGACATTGGTGCTCAGGAATTGAGTGAAATGGGTGGTTTTTCCACTCAGCGGACAGGAGTGGAGGAGCAGGAGCATCTGGTAGAGGAGGAGGAGGAGACAGAGGACCCAGACGCACCGTGGCAGTATGCTGTGGAGATGGAGGCAGGGAGTCCCTCGCATTCCTTGGCACAAATGGCCCATAGCATGCTCGGTTGCTTGCGTAGCGACAGCCGAATAATAACCATCAGACAGAGGGATGACTTTTGGCTGTCCACCTTGTTGGACCCTCGCTACCGTTCAAAAATGGTGGCCTTTTTCACACCTGCTGAGAGGGAGGCCAAAATAAAGTACTATAAAAACCACCTATGTAGTCAGTTGGTCTCTGCCTTTCTACGCCAACGTCCATCCTCAGACACTGTGGGCCCTGTGCGCTCGCGTTCCGCTGCCATGGCAGCAGGGGAGGGGTGGGGTGGTAGGAGCAGTGGCAGCTCCACCAGCAGCGGCTGCCTCAGTCTGCAGTCGATGATGAGTAGCTTTCTTCACTAGCGCAGTGAGGAAACTACTAACCAGCCGCAGCAGCAGCAGCAGCATCAGGTGGACCTGGAGCAGGACCTCAAACAACAGGCTTGGGCCTACTTGGACAGCACCCTGCCAACCAAGGTAGACAATCCCCTTGACTACTGGGCAACGAAACTTGACCTTTGGTCCCAACTAGCTGAATTTGCCCTTGAAAGGCTGTCATGCCCGGCCAGTAGCGTGGCATCGGGAGCGCGTGTTTAGTGCGGCAGGAGGTATTGTAACTCCACGGAGGACACGACTGTCCACCCAAAGTGTGGAGAGACTCACGTTTGTGAAAATGAATCAGGCGTGGATTAGTCTGGATTTCAAACCACCAGTTCCTGACACAACTGACTAAATCCGCCATGAATCATGCCCCAAACATGTTATTAGGGACAAATAGGCCGCTGTCTTTACAACTTTATAATTCCATGCAGTATATAGCCCTATCGGCCACTTTCTGGCATCCAGTTGCTGTAGCCCCCATCACCACACTGTGCCACGGGCCCCTGTACCGCCTTCTCATACTGCTGCCAGATCCATCCTCTGCCATGTGCGTCTTTGTCGTCTGCTCACGCTGCTGGGTTCCAGTTTTAAACCTAGGCCTGTGTATGGCTTCCGAATACTGCTGCATCCACCGCCACCCTGCGCCATGTGCCTCTGTCGTCTGCTCACGCTGCTGACGGCTTCCGCTTTTTAACCGAGGCCTGTGTTTGGCTTCCGAATACTGCTGCATCCACCGCCACCCTGCGCCATATGTCTCTGTCGTCTGCTCACGCTGCTGACGGCTTCCGCTTTTTAACCTAGGCCTGTGTATGGCCTTCAATTGAAGCTGCTTCTGCTCCACCACTCTGCCATTGGACTCTTGATAGTCGTCTCCCCACGCTGCTGCTGGGGGGACTTTTTAACATAGGCCTCTGTATGGCCTTCAATTTTAGCTGCTTACGCTCCGCCACTCTGCCATGGCCCCCTGTACCGCCTCCTCATGCTGCTGCCAGGCCCGTAATCTGCCATGGGCCCCCGTACCGACTCCTCATGCTGCTGCCAGGCCCGTAATCTGTCATGGGCCCCTGTACCGCCTCCTCATGCTGCTGCCAGGTCCAGAGTGTGTCATGGGTCCCTTTACGGCCTCCCATTGCTGCCTTCTCCATCGCCACACTCTGCCATGTGCCACTTTCAGGTCTCCTCACACTGCTGGTGGGTTCCATTTTGTCATAGGGTGCTGTATGGTCTCCCATTGCTGCTGCCTCCACCGCCACACTGTGGCTCCACACTCTGGTTTTGGCCCCGTGACTGCCCAAATGAGTGAAGTGTGCGGTGATTCTAAGATCGACGGCACTCATCTGCATGTCATACTGACTGACAGTATTATTTCTCTTCCCCAGCAGACTCCAAGGGCATTTAAATTAAAGGTACAGTGTTCTGCACTAATATAAAGGCTCTCTGAAGCCTAGAAACACCCTTTTTATAAGTTAAATTCGCAGCGAATATATTCGCCTCGAATCGAATTTATTACGCGAATTCGGCGAATCAGCCGAATCGAATTTTTGAATAATTCGCTCATCTCTAATTCTGATGTATTCAAACTGATCCATGATCCCTGGTATGCGATAAATAGGCCCAACACCGTAGTATGAGAAACATCCCCATATCATGATGCTTGCGCAACCATGCTTCACTGTCTTCACAGTGTACTGTGGCTTGAATTCAGTGTTTGGGGGTCGTCTGACAAACTGTCTCCGGCCACTAGACCCAAAAAGAACAATCTTACTTTCATCAGTCCACAAAATGTTGCTCCATTTCTCTTTAGACAGGTCAATGTGCTCTTTGCAAATTGTAACCTCTTCACTACGTCTTTTTTTCAACAGTGGGACTTTGCGGGGGCTTCTTGCAGATAGCTTGGCTTCACATAGGCGTCTTCTAATTGTAACAGTACTCACAGGTAACTTTACACCTTCTTTGATCTTCCTGGAGTTGATTGTTGGCTGAGTCCTTGCCATTTTGGCTATTCTTCTATCCATTCGAATGGTAGTTTTTTGCTTTCTTCCACATCTTTCAGGTTTTGGTTGCCATTTTAAAGCATTTGCGATCATTTTAACTGAGCAGCCTATCATTTTCTGCACTTCTTTACGTATTCCCCTCTCCAATCAACCTTTTAATCAAGGTACGCTGTTCTTCTGAATAATATCTGGAACGACCCATTTTCCTCAGAATTTCAGAGAGAAATGCACTGTGACCAGCATGTACAACATTTTCTGCCTTCCTTCCTTAAATAAGGGCAATAATTGCCAACTGTTTTTCAAAGAATGAATGACCTCACTAATAGAACTCCACACTGCTATTATTTTGAACATGCCCCTTTCAATTAGTGATTCAATTACACAGAATCAGCAGCATGCATGTCATGACTGTTCGGTCTGTTGGATTTCTATTACTCTACTACACCTGCTAGTAAATTATTTGCCATGTAGAAATATAATTTCTACCAAAAACAGTGATTGATATTTTGAACACAACTGTATGTATGTATATGCATATATATGCATATATATATATATATATATATATATATATATATATATATATATATACACACACACATACATACATACATACATACAGTTGTGTTCAAAATAATAACAGTCAGACATCACTAACCTGATCAATCACTGTTTTTGGTAGAAATATTTCTACATGGCAAATAGTTTACTAGCAGCAGGATGGATAAAAATCAATGATTTAAAAAAAAAATAATAAAACAAAAACTGATTTTTTTTATTTAAATCGGATTTTTTTAACCACTTCCAGACCTGACACTTTCACCCCCTTCCTGAGCAGGGCAATTTTCAGCTTTCAGCGCTATCACACTTTAAATGACAATTGCGCGGTCATGCAACACTGTACCCAAATGAATTTTTTACCATTTTTTTGAGACAGATAAAGCTTTATTTTGGTGGTATTTATTCACCACTGGGACTTTTATTTTTTTTGCTATGTAAATGGAAATGTCCCAAAATTTAGAAAAAAAGTGTTTTTTTAATAACATTTTTCAAATAAATAATATTCCATCATAAATCTTGGCCCAAATTTATTCCGTTATCTTTTTAGTAAAAAAAAAAAAATCCAAATTAGCTTATAACCAAAAATTATAATTTTTAAACTTTTTTTACATTTTTTTTTTTTTTTTTTTTTTTTTACATACTGTCACCCTAGCAGTACAGTGTCACCATGGTGACACTGTACTACTTGTGGGGGGTGATGAAGATTTTTTTTTTTTTTTTCTACACGGATTGCTTTTACACCCATATAGGATGTAAAAGCAATCATTTCTCTTTCTCTCTGTCTGCATTCTTGCATTCATTGAGAAATACTGAGTGAGCTGTGATTGGTCACAGCTTGTCACATGGTACAAGGCTGTTGTGAATAGCCTTGTACCATGTGACCTCTGTGATCATTCACAGATCTCACACGTAGTAAGCAATGATGTCACAAGTGACATTTTGCTTACTACTTTGCATGTGATCACTGATTGGCCAATCAGTGATCACATGATCGGGACCTCGTACAGAGGTCCCGTCCGACGATCGGTGGTTCACTGTGTCCGCAGGACACAGCGGGGCACCGGATTGCGGTGCTGCGCGCTCCCAGGGAGCGCGCACAAGCAGGGTGCGGGGAGGCCGTTTATAAACGGCCACCCGACCCTGCAGTGCCACCGTCCGGCCGTTTATATGCAATGGCCGGTCGGGAAGTGGTTAAATAAAATGCTTTTTGAGGAAAATATATTGCCATCCAAAGGTTATTCCATCATGAAATAAAGATTAGTTTTTTAATTATGTAGAATAAGGCTGTATATGTTTAATTTTTTTGGTAAATAAATTCCATTAATCCATTCACAATGTCATGCTCTTCCAGAGGTTTTTGTAAGATTATTGGGCAGTTTCTCTGCCTACAAGATATTATCACAGATGTTTGGTTTACTTTTGCAGTTCTCAAAACTGAATTTGACTCAGCGGAGATCACATGCCTCTTCTTCACAGAAGAAATGTTATAACATGAACAGAGTTAAGAAAAAGACTTTAATCCTAACTTCTACAAACCTATGAATACAGAATCAACCCCTTCAGTGCTGAAGTTTCAAGAAGTTCAGTGAATAGAATAGAAACAATATTTTTCGGATTGTTTGGAGTGGAATAGATCTGCACAAGAAGAAAGTGAAACTAAGTGTGAGGAGGAAGGGGCTGACAGTCTAAGTTTCTTAAAATATATATATTTTGTTTAGCCAAAATAGTTAACAAACATGGATGTTTGTTTAAGCAAATAACATATGCTGGAATGTTATTGTTTCAGTTGAATCAATCTATTTAAATTGTTATTAAGGTAATGATTATTTTTCTTCTTCTTAAGTACAACAGAAAAGTTGTCCAAATATGAATGATTAACCTATTAAACTGGGATAAAAAAGCTAATATGAAAAGTTGTTATTCTAAAAATCTTCATCTACTTGCATATTAAAGTTATACCAGCAAGAATTAGTCTATGTAGAAAACTAGGATTTAAATCAAGCCTTACTGACTAGTGATTCAAATTGTGATTTAAATTGGGATTTAAATCCGTTTTATTTAAATCAAATCCACCCTGCTAGCAGGTGTAGTAGAGTAATAGAAATCCAACAGACCGAACAGTCATGACATGCATGCTGCTGATTCTGTGTAATTGAATCACTAATTGAAAAGGGCATGTTCAAAATAATAGCAGTGTGGAGTTCTATTAGTGAGGTCATTCATTCTTTGAAAAACAGTTGGCAATTATTGCCCTTATTTAAGGAAGGAAGGCAGCAAATGTTGTACATGCTGGTTACAGTGCATTTCTCTCTGAAATTCTGAGGAAAATGGGTCATTCCAGACATTGTTCAGAAGAACAGCGTACCTTGATTAAAAAGTTGATTGGAGAGGGGAAAACATATAAAGAAGTGCAGAAAATGATAGGCTGCTCAGTTAAAATGATCGCAAATGCTTTAAAATGGCAGCCAAAACCTGAAAGATGTGGAAGAAAGTGAAAAACTACCATTCGAATGGATAGAATAGCCAAAATGGCAAGGACTCAGCCAACAATCAGCCCCAGGAAGATCAAAGAAGGTCTAAAGTTACCTGTGAGTACTGTTACAATTAGAAGACGCCTATGTGAAGCCAAGCTATCTGCAAGAAGCCCCCGCAAAGTCCCACTGTTGAAAAAAAGACGTAGTGAAGAGGTTACAATTTCCCAAAGAGCACATTGACTGGTCTAAAGAGAAATGGCGCAACATTTTGTGGACTGATGAAAGTAAGATTGTTCTTTTTGGTTCTAGTGGCCGGAGACAGTTTGTCAGACGACCCCCAAACACTGAATTCAAACCACAGTACACTGTGAAGACAGTGAAGCATGGTTGCGCAAGCACCATGATATGGGGATGTTTCTCATACTACGGTGTTGGGCCTATTTATCGCATACCAGGGATCATGGATCAGTTTGAATACATCAGAATACTTGAAGAGGTCATGCTGCCTTATGCTGAAGAGGAAATGCCCTTCAAATGGGTGTTCCAACAAGACAACGACCCAAAACACACCAGTAAACGTGCAACATCTTGGTTCCAGACCAACAAGATTGACGTTATGAAGTGGCCAGCCCAATCCCCGGATCTTAATCCAATAGAAAACTTGTGGGGTGACATCAAAAATGCAGTTTCTGAGGCAAAACATAGAAATAGAGAAGAACTGTGGAATGTAGTCCAATCATCCTGGGCTGGAATACCTGTTCACAGGTGCCAGAAGTTGGTTGACTCCATGCAACACAGATGTACAGCAGTTCTCAGAAACAGTGCTTATACATTTTTCAGTTTATATAGTGAATGTTTGAGTTTGTAAAGAAGAATACAAACACTGCTATTTTTTTGAACAGTCTAATATTCACTTTTCTTCAATTTTTGGAACAACACAAACTTGATATATTTTTCTTCATGTTTTGATTTGGAATAGAATGTGTAGTGTTCCCAATGCATTTGTGTGTATGGAAATAAAAGCTTTTAGAAGGATTTTGAGCTTTATTCACTTTTTTCAACACACTGCTATTATTTTGAACACAACTGTATATATATCCATCCATTCACACATTCAAGGTAATCCTTCCCACTGTGTCATTGTATTCTGACAATCAGGAGACTATCCTGCCTTCAGAAT